TCTACGTTGGATTAAGCGAACATTGAGCAGACTTTCTCAGTTCTGTTGCCCTCCACATTGACATAAGTCAGAGGTAGGAGGATTTCTTCCTGAAATGCAGGGGACATATGACCCTTATGTTGGTCGAATGCGTATAATGACTGAACCATTCAGCTCTAAGACAGACTTCACTTGTTTGTGACTTTGCAGCTCTCACAATCCATCTGCTAACAACAAAATTTTTCCAATTATTTGGAATGATGACATCATCCATGCAATTGGCCCAGAGCCAACATCAGCACTCCTACAAAACAGACAGTTATTTCTTGTTAAGCATCATCATATTCTTCATACTGGCCACAGTTTGCATCAGTTGAGCTTCAGCATGGCAAGGCCGCTGGGAAGCAGTAACATTGGCAGCAACAAAGCCACTGAGCAGACGCATCCCTCAGTTCACTTGGCTGAGGGTCTGAAATGATGTATCTGTGGATTGCTCACATGCCACCTCATCTCTCTACTTTGGTTTGAACAAACCTGGCTTACACAAAATGTGGTGGGGAGCAGTCGAGCTCAGAGAACCAGGAAGGATAAGCTATTCTGAGGTGCAGAGTTGAGCTCTTCTGCTGCGAAGTGAAATGGCTCAGGAAAGGCCAGGGAGTCAGCAAAAGCTGCTGGGAAATGACACAAGGCTGAATTTCAACTATTGCAAATGGAAAGATCAGCAGAGGATGCTCACACTGAAAAAGCCTGGAAAAAGCAGATAGGTATCTAAAACATTTTGAAAGGCCTCCAGTCCTGGTGCTTTTTTCAGTGTAATAAATCCTTGCTGGATTAATTACCTAATAGTGAAATTATCTCACTCTGCTAGAGGCAGATTTCTTGCTGAAGTGAGAACAATTATAATATTTTAAGGTAAAATATGATAGTTTGAAGGTCCCAGAGGGCAGAAGGGGCAGGGCTGCACTCAGCGAATGGTCACTAATTCCCTGTCATTTCCCTACTCAGGCCTGGTAAAACATATCGCATCTGCCATTTGAATTTTAGGCCAAGATAAAAGGAGTCTTGTAATGCCCTATAACTCAAGAACGCTACATATTTAAAGCAGTAAATTCTCACAGGGACTGTGATCCTTTTGCAGCATAGATTTATTGCAGACTGCTGTGAGGGAGAGCAGAGTCATTTCATAGGACCACAACAGCAGCAGGTACCTGGGGTCCTGCTGCTACAGGCAAACAGTGCTGCCGCAGTGCTGGGGTGTTTTATGTTCGTGTAATGTCTGTAGGTCTAGGAACCACCAGAAAATGGACTGGGAGCTTCTCTGTGTCCTGCCTGAAGTGAATTTGCCGAGATCCATCCAGGTCCTATTTAGGCACCACTAGAGTTGTATGTCAGGTTCCTGGAAGTAAGAAAGGTGAAGGACCTTTCCATGATCCACTGCAGAGTCTTCCACAGACAGTTAGAAAAAAAAAAATCCTGAGCTGTTTGAATTTCCCATAAAAGGCAGGAAGCAACTTGGCAGTTCAAGTGCCTATGAAGGCAAAAAAAAGAACTGAAATGGGCCTTTTTTCTGTCCTTTCCACTTGATAATGAAGGCCTGAAAGGCACTAAATTGGTGGGTTTTGTTCTAAGGCTTTAATTCTTTCTCCATTAGCACTGCTGGAAGACTTTCTGGACAGACAGAAAAGAGGTCAGTATGCATCAGAGACAGTAGAGAAACCTGCAGATTTGTCTGTGCAGGGATGTTTAAATCTCGGTAATAGATTACCCATTACATTGTGCATGGTACTCTGGACGCTGCATACATTTCTTCCAGGACAGGACTGCAAGCAAATGTCCAGCTCAGCCTGTACAAATGCACAAATGAGCTTGAATTATTTGCAATCAGTTGACGCCAGTTGAGTACTTCTGTGCTTCCATGTTTATGATTTGTGTAGACAAATCCGAGAAGGGAAGTGATTTTGAATCCAACTATTAAAAGCTTTTTTGCTTGATATTCTTAACAGCTGTTTCATCCCAACAGTTGGGAGAAAAACAGAAAAACACCTTCTCACAAGGATTCTGTAAGGATCTTTCAGCTGGAGGATGAAGCAATTTCCCATCTACATTTCCTGGTGTCTTTCCATGAGATCAATGAATAATTCTTCCTGATATTTTAAAAGTTAGAAAAATAAGAAGCAGTAAATGACACTTAAGGAGAAGTAAGCCAACCCAGACTTAGCTCTGCCAGCAAAGTCTGGTTGTTTCCCCCGCATTTCCAGATCACCTTAGCAGTTGTATTTTCCAGGTTTGAGCAGGTTACCCTGAGTAACCTGTATTTGTTTGACAAAGCCTGATTACTACTTGTAACTTTTGAACCCCAGTTGTCACAGAGAGATTACAGGTGTCTCAGCGAAGGCATTTTGGCACGTCTCATCTAGTCCCCACGCTTGTAGAGCCCTCTCCAGCACACTAAATCCATCGTCTGTTGGGTCAGAAGAGTACATAAGCTGGCTGAGCCCCAAAATCATCTGCTCATGAGACAAGCTGGCCCAGAGATGGAGAGAAGGAAATCCTAATACCTGCTCGGATGATGGCTCGCTGCTCAGAGGAGCTGGGCTCAGCCGCAGTCCTGCCTGGCTACTCTCCCACCGCCCTTCCAGCCCTCCTGAAATCACTCAGCCCCACAAAGCTGTGTGGGCAAGCAAGAGCGGTGAGGAAGCAATGGCTGTTCCTTAAAAAAAGTAACATTGAGGCTTGGGGAGCCTTCCTTCCTGTCCAGTGTGTGACATTTGTCAGCTGATGTTGCATCTAACTTAGTGGTAGCAGGAGCTGGAGAGGAAATACTCTCCCCTCTTGCCTAACCTGCCTCCAGCACCCAGACTGCATGAGAGAAGGCAAAGGGATAGTCAGCAACTGCACTCAGCTTTAATTTAATTTAAAAGTAGGTTTGTCCATCTCCTTTAGGGTAAAGAGCATCCAGCAGCCCTTCACGCTTCTGAGCAAAGCCGCAAGGCTGTCCCTTGCAAGTGATCTTCATGCTCGCCCTTGGGGTGAGTGGTGCCTGGTTAATTCCTGCAACCAGCTATGAGGAAATATTTCTCCTTTCCTCCCCCCCGCCCCAGCCCAGAAAAGCTTTGCATGTGGAACTTGTTAAAGATTTGTCCTGAGCTTGTTTTTTAAACATAAGCCACGAGTCAGGATGGGCCAAGGAAAACATACCAGTGCAGAATACACCTCATCAGACCCACCAACCGCTCTGCCAGCACCGGCTTCGCCGCAGCTGCGGCCAAACGTGAGCCGTGAGCCCGCGGGGCGGCGTGGCTGGAAGGGAATGGCGTCCACACGCCCTCGCCAGCCTCGCCGAGCAAGGGAGGGCAGTCCAAGGCCTGGACTGACCACGCCACCCTCCCAGCAGGGCCCCGCTGTTCCCAAAATTAGGGCAAGTTTGCTGTAGATGGGGTATAAGTGTGCGTATGATCAATCTATTGACCGTGTAATAACTGAAAGTCTATTATAACTGTGTGCATAGTCAGTACAATGTATATTATCACAACGATACCGTACGTAGGGCTGTACAGATGTATATTCTCTCCCCGCCCTTGCGAGTGCCTCGGGCACGGGTCTCGCCCGGACTGGGGCGAGGGGCGCGGGCCCTTTAAGTGGGGACCGCCCTCCCGACCAACAGGTTCCAGCGCTGACCGCTCAACCAAGCTCGCTGCGCCGCCCTTGCCCGCCGCCCATTGGCCGGGCGGCGCTGAGGGTCCCGCCTTCCGGCGCTGCTAGCCAATGGGACGAGAGCTGGGCGAGAGTCGGGGCTAAGTTGGTGCGAGTGGCCGATGGCCGGCGAGCGGCGGGTCAGTGCCGGGGGCTCGGGAGAGGGCCCGGCCGCCCCTCGGGGAGCGGGGGCTGCGGGGAGAGGGGC